GATGATAAAATCTGCAGGGGAAATAAACTTCCTAATTTGAAGCAAGACGTCCTCAATTACCCTCCCAAGATAAACATAAGATCTGTCAGCTAACTGTAGCAGCACCGTGGTGGATCTCGGAGCTCCTAATCCCAATTGTTTGAACACTGACAATGTCATCAAATTGATACTTTCACCCAAATCACACAAGGCTCTACCCACATCAATTTCACCAATCCTCACGGGGATGGTAAAACTACCCGAATCCTTAAGATTTTGTGGAAGCTTATGTTGAATCCTGGAAGTGCACTTCTCAGTAAGTGCGCCGGTCTCAAATTCAGTTAACCTCCTCTTATTTGCCACTATATCCTTAATATATTTTGCATATTTTGGGACCTCACGGAGCATGTCCACCAAAGGAATGCTCAAGTGTATCTGCTTCAGCATATCTAAAAATTTGTGAAACATATGGTCATCATTATTCTTTCTCAGTCTTTGAGGAAAAGGATGAGGCACCCTATCTGATATTTGCTCAGACTCTATTTTGTTTCTCTCATCTACCTCTATACTTTTTAGTACTCTTTCTTTTTCGAGCCCAGACTGCTCCTTTTTCTTTTTAGGCACTTCTACTAACTCTCTCCCATTTCTCAACATCACTGTATTGACTTGAGAATTTTTCTCTGTATCACTTGGGGGAGCTCCAACAGGTCTAATATTCTAATTGTTAGCCATTTGCCCAAACTGCCTCTCTAGATTTCCAAACTCTGTGCGCAATTGTTGATTCTCAGCCATAACTTTCTAATTGTCTGTCAAGAGCTTTTTCATCATGTCAGTCAAACTCTCTTCTGATTGCTGTGGAGGTTGAGGTGGATGATTATAAGTCGCTTGAGGCCTGATGTTCTGATTTCCACCCCGAGAGAAGTTAGGATGATTCCTCCAGTTCAGATTGTATGTGTTACTATATTGAGAATCTTTATTCATCGGCCCTCTAGCTTGTTGCACCACGTAGTAGATGGATTCAGGATTCACGGGGCATATGTCACTTGTGTGACCTTCAACACAAAACTTGCAGTAAGTAGACATTTGTTGCACATGCTGCATCTGTTGTGCTTGGTGCATTGTCATCTTATTCATCTGATTTTCTAATCTCGCTATATCTGCCCTCATAGCTGAGAAATCATCAAGCTCGATCATACTTTCTGCCTTTTGTTTAAGCGCTCTTCGTGGTTCCCCATATTCTTGCCAATTATTATCATTAGCAGTGAAATTGTTTAGCAGGATCTGGATCTCACTATACGGTCTTGCCATGCAACTACCCCCACATGTTGAGTCAAGATTCATCTTTGAT